GGGGGGGGGCCATCTCCAACGCCGGCCGGGGGCCATGTGTTCGGGCGAGACAGCTCGCACACCGCCTCCCGACGTCTCGAGAGCCCGGCGCGAAGGCTGGGCCTTCCCGATACGGCATCGGGCGGGGCTGTTCTGTTGCCGCTCTTTCCGCTGCTGCTATCTTCTCTCGCCACGGCACAAGGCCCTCCCGGCGGCGCCCGCCGACTGCCGCCCTCGAGGCCTGCTCCCCGGCAGGCGCGACGAGAGGGCAAGCAGTGCGGGGGGCGGGCGGGGGGGGGGGGGAGAGCGCTCTTTGCGCAAGGGCCGCCCCCTCCTCCAGCGGCATGGCCGGAGCCCGTCCGCGTCAGCATCGGGTTGCGCGGTCCCAAGGCGCCCCCGGGGCCGGATGACTTGATCCCTCGACCCACCGGGCGGGGCGTGCGTTGCATGCCCCTCCGACGACTGCGCCACCTTGCACGCCGGCGGCAGACGCCCTGGTTAATCCGGCACCGATGTCGCTCGGCCTGCGGGCGTGTGCAGCCCGTGAAATCCGAGTGGTCCCTTCTCGAGAAGGATGGCGGGCGCGCCAAGCGGGAAGCCCGAGCCTATCCCCGGCTCTTTTGTTCCCCCCCCCCCCCCCCAGCTGCGAGGGAGAGAGAGAGAGTGCCAGGGGCCTGAGAGAACAATGGTTATTGTTGCCAAATTAATCATACTCATTTTCAAACACCCGAGACGCTTCTCCTGATCCACCGCGGGGGCGGGGGGCACGGGATGGCTGGGGCCGCGGATGCGGAACGGCCCCGCGTCCTGCCGTTCCCGGTTCAAAGCCAAACGCCCAGCCCGCGCCACGATGGGGCTCGCTCCGTTCCCCATCCCCTTCTCCCCGACGACCGGGCGGAGATGGGTTTCGGCCGGCCCCCGACGCCGGGCCTGGGGCGAGGGCGCACATGTGCGGGCGGACTCCCTGGGGTACATTGGCATCCTTGCTTTCGCCCGGGGCGTCGGTCAATATTGGGGCCCCTTCTCGGTCCCAGCGGCGCTGGCGGGCCGCGTCCCGTACTCCGCGGCGCGCTCTGGCGCGTGTGCGGTCGCGATCCCGATCCTCTCGCGCCAGCCGGCGAACCCGGCGGGCTGGGGTTGTCCCGAGGCCCGGTGGTGAGACATTTCGAGGCCACGAGGAACTCTCGCGGCACCATCCGGTGGCGCGCGCAGCCAGAGGGCGCCCGCCGCGCACCCGGGGGCTTTTCTCAGGGTGGGGGCCCGGGGCCCCGTCTCGCTGCGCCGCCGGCCCCCCCCCCCCCCC